GCGAAAGGGGGTCAAACACAGTATTAGTATGGTGTTCCTAATAAACCTTTAGGTGAGTGTACATACATGTGTGTAACTAAGCTAATTTAAGTTGTACCTGTGCTTTTTGTCCCTGGTAGTGTCTTGGAACCAGTTACTAACACTAATAAATCAAATAATCTGGTTTTGAAGAGAATATAATATAGTCTGTTACCAAACCCCTGTTCTCCATGCCCCAGTCGATGTTAATTAGCACTCGAGCTCTGCAGAATGCCAGCTAATGTGAAGGGCTGGAGGGCCACTGCCGTGCACTTTAGACCTGTAATTTTCCTCAGTGTTACAGACGTTTCCTGGAACAGCTGCTCTTTACTGTACAGAGGAGGAGAAAACGGGGATCTCTGAGCTCAGAAATCAGTTCATTCAAGGCCATGGTGACATTTGATGCACTTTGTTCAAAGGGATGAACTTGTAGTTTTTGATCAGTATAGTTCTGTAGAGAGGGCTGAATAGAGTCTGTAAATGCTAAATCTCACTGTCTGTTCATTTATGATTTGCATGTCCTGCATTTAAAAACAAGGCTTTTTTCCTTTGCAAAACATTACGCATAGTGCAACATGCAGAAGATCACATCATTCTTGATTGAATGACGAAAGGCTTTCCGTTATTATGTTCTGACAATTTATTTAATGATTTCTGAGCTGTGGAAAACATGCTTTTTTTCAGTGTAATATCCTGTGGTCAAAATAAAACGGACTATTTTGACTTTCTGAGGTTGTCAACAAACATCAGATATGAAAGCATTAAAGCACCAGTAAATTACCAGCAATTTTAGGGCAGGCGGCCTATTACAGTGGTGAACGTGATTTCACAAAGTTCCTGGATCAACATTTGGATCAACTGTCAGTGCAGTTTATGCTTTCTTTGAAATCAATCTTTGCAGCCAATCAATTTGTGTGTTTTCTCAGAAACACTCATGTTTTGTCTGTTTCATTTTAGTAGATTTAAAAACGCTGAATTATGGTTTTGAAGGATTGCTGACATCAGATGCAGCTCATTGAAAGTAGATGTGAACTGCAGTAACTTTGAGATTGACAGAATCCATGCTTCTATTCATGCACCTCAATCAATACTATTTCTTTTTGTGTTTAACTTATTTGGCTCTGTTCTTCCTTCCACTGTCACCTAATGACTTGAAATGAAGTACAGAATTGCACTGACATTTTTCTAAAGCAAGTGCATGGCCCCTTAAAAACAATCTCGGTCTAAAAGATGTGCATTGTCTGGACTTTATGGCAGTATCGGCAGTCTTTTATTTGGGTAGTACCAGAGGATAATGACAACTAATAAAGTGGAATACATGGGAAATGTATTGAAAGCAAATGGTCATAGCAGAAGATCAGTTGAGTCTGTCTGCTCAACCATGCTTGGTGACGGCCACTAGTTACCCAGGTCCCACAGCACCTTATAAGAGTCCCAGAATGGCCCCACAAAGCATGAATTCAGCTGTTATGCTTGTATTAAAGGTCTGTTATCATTGAGACTGCTGATACCTTTAAGATAGAATTGGTTTGGTATAGAAATTATTTGTAACTATAGGGGCTTGTTAAAGCTCTGAAGACATTGAGTACGATTGCTTTGTATGGGGAACCAGGCCATTGAGTCAGTGAGAATGCAAGAACCAAATCAATCAGATTCATGGACAAATCATTCAGACTAATTCTATGAACTGGATCAACTCATGAAAAATATCCAACTCAAAAGAAAGATTCATTCATTCATCTTTTTTCCCTATTTCTGTTATCTTATGCACATGTAAAGGAGAGCTAGGGTAGATGTCAAGATTATCACTGAATAAAAAAACAAATTTTTGTATCATATGACTTCAGAAGGCTTGGAATATAGTGCTCGAGTGGTATGGATTGTTTTTATGATGCTTTTATGGTGCTTTTAATTAAAAGATCCAAGTCTTCTGGCGCCATGAGGAACTAGATTGAGTCAGGGAGAATTTATGGGCGAATCATTCAGACTGGCTTTTTTTAATTGAATCAAGTAGTACTCAAATGGTGTGGATCAGATTCATGATGCGTTCATGATGCTTTTGCATAGCTTGAAATCCTCATTCATTGCAATTTGCATGGAAAAGAGCAAACTTTTTGGGTGAATTATTCCTTTAATCACGCTCTTTCTGAAGATTTTCACTGACTCATTCGGGATTCTCTTTTTGCAAAGCAGATGCACACATTATGACATCACTTCCCAAATTGCTTTCAGTAACTTGTAAATGAATGGCTTTATTTTTCATAATCAACCAGTTTTAACATTGGGTTTTTCCATTTAATCTTTTCCATGTTCCATTCTTTTTCTGCTTTGACAAAAATGTGTCATAGTGCTATTTGCCTGTCTGTCTCGTGTTTGATTTCTCAAGCAATTGATAAGAAAAGACGCAATCAGAAGGATGGGAGACGCAGCACGTGTCCCGCGGTCCACCTGACACCCGTGTGGAAATGAGCCACCTCCGCACGTGCCACGGTGTCAACGGTAGTCTTTTATTCTTTAACCTCGGCATTTTCAGTGATTCCAATCCAGGCAGAAAAAATGATTTTTTCAACAAAAGATGGAAACTAATATGTTCTGAAAAGACAGGAACTGGGTGAGCGGGAAATAGGTCATGGAAAAAGGAAATGGAATTGGAATGCAAATCTTTCCTTGTTTAGATGACTAGTTTAGAATTGTGATTTACTTGCTAGTTGCTGGTGACATTACTGGGATGGACATTGTCATTCCAGAGAGCATTTGAATGGACAAAATACAGGATCAGTCATCTCTATTTGGGGGCACATTATCACAGAATATGTTATACATTTTAAAAGCAAATTTACTAAAAGTTATTTTTGTCATTGTTTGGTAATACACTAGTAGCCAAAACACATGGACTGAAAGCTTAAACTGCCATTTTGATTTAATGGGTTCTTTAAATGGTGAAGTGATGTTCTTTCCCTCCCATTCAAGAGTTGCACTGCTATGGACACGTCTATAAAAAGGTTTTGAGCCCCAGAGCAGACACGTGAAGTGCCCGTCGTCACATGTCCAACGCCATGTGCATCGTGCTCACCAACAGAGATGTGAACATAGACAATCTATCTGTCTGTCTGTTTGTCTACAAATATAAATGAAAAAAATGTGCTTTTCTTTAAGAGTTATTGTCGGTTATTCTTTATGCTATTTTCTACTGAATTGGTAAATCATTACAATTTTAAGTTTGTTTTATTTTTATTTGAATTTATTTTAAAACGTACCAGTCTTCAGTGTCACATGATCCTTCAGAAATCATTCTAATATGATTATGTACGCAGGTTCATATCTGCATGAAGACTAGAGCCATTCACGAGCCACACTGTGGACGACAGGGCCAGATTGACTAAACAAGGCAAATTTGCGTGATAGCGCAATCATATAAGGGGCGATGAGAGTGGAAAGTTCTGCACGTGATCTACCGCCAATGCACAAATTATAGAACACAGACTCAGCTGGACCATTTCCATAATGACCAACACAATCAAGAGCAGCGCAAATTAGCATCTGGTTTAAGACGTGCTTTTTTTTGGGCTGTAAATAATGCCGCAAGTACCAGTAAATTGACTAGCGCAAACCTTAGTAAATCACCTTGCGTGATTAATTTAAATTCTCTTCTCCCATAAATTTTGTGTCTGAAAGGGAAACTTCTACAAATGCATATTCATTAAAGCAGCACTAAGTAGGAATTCCGTTTTTGTCAAACAGCGACCCCTAGAGTCGCTGTGGAGTACTTGTACTGTCGTGAATAGCACTCAGGCAGAGATGGCTCGCACTCACGGCCGGATCCCCTCCCCCTGTACGCCGGTACCTGTTCAGTAGGATGGACGCTGTAACGAGGGGAAATAAGGTGTGGCCCCTTTAAGAGCTGCGCGCCCTGGTTAAATGTTGGCAGTCTGTATTGTATGTGCGCCTCGAACACCACATGTATACGGCGGCGGGTTATTTCTGTTTGATGCTCATTTTATCAGAATTTTATCAGATCTGTTTTTTGCCGTAAAGCAATTCGTTACCTCGCGAGACCTGATATCACACAATACTTCCTAACACTGAGGCCGGCGGCCCGCCTACCTTCTTTCCTCCAACGCCGGCTCTGACTCCACCCATTCGAAGAACATGGACGCGCAATCATGCACGAGCGAAAACTCAGATGCGCGAGAGATTGTAATGCTAAAGATTTACTACTAATCATGGAACCGGCTTTACTGACGAGATGCGCATGCGTCACAAACTTTGAGTATGTGCACGACAGGGGTCACGCGTGCTGGGGGGGAGGGGGGTGTGGTACAACCGTTTGATTGACAGACTTACTGTCCAATGATTCTGGTGGTCTTGGAAATTATTGGCTGGAGTTTTTCGAGTCCTGCCCGTTCCACAGATGATTAAATTGCTAAATTTTCATTTCAGTGCTTCTAACTCAGTGGCTGTAAGTGGGTTAGGAATAGGATTTCAAGTTATTTTGAAAAAATGTACAAAAAAGAGAATCACATACCCCACCTTTAAGGTAAAAAAGTTACTTAGTTCACCTTTAAGGTCAGTGGCAAAGATAACATTGTCCACGCCTTTTCAGCGCTAATTTTTCACTGCGTGTCTTTAGTAAATCCTGACTTTAGTTTTTTACCGCCAAAAGAGGGTTTGCGATGTTAGTAAATCTGGCCCTATGTCTGTAGCATATAAGGCTAGATCACAGACTGTAAAAAAATGGGCTAGATGCGTAGAACCAGTAATGTCTCTGCCTCCATTGGTCTCCATCTGTTTACATCAGTGACTGAGTGGAGAGCGAAAGGGTGAACGTGTCAAGAGCATCATTCTCATGCCTTAATATACAGGGCGAGCTAAATATGCCACAGCAAAATATATAAATAACTTCTCGCTTGCGCAGCGGATGTTTTTAGCTTCCCAGCAAATGCAAAAGTAAGTTGATGAATGAATAAATTGGCCAGTCCAGCATGTACTCCACCTATGAGGGAAGCCATCTGCTGTCCAGAAGCTCATCAGGAGAGGGTTGTAGAGAGACACACTGGCTGGTTCTACTGGACGGCACCAGCACTAATGAAGCTGGCTGGTGTTCTGTTCTCTCTTCACGGAGATTGAGTTGAATTGTCTGCTTGTCTGAGAAAAGTTTCCCTAAAATGTCTAAACAATATTTTTTAATAAGGTCACAATCATTATATACGCTGATTTCACGCAGCCGCCATTTTGAAATCGCTCCGGTGGGAAGAAAACCGGAAGTGTCGCTTTTAATCATAGGAGAGTCGCGAATGCGATGGCGATTGTTGTGTTTAATGTAGAAATTAGTTATTCTAAAAATGTACATACATTTCTTTCATACTTTAGACTATATACAGTGAAATTAATTTATAAATAAAACATTTTTTTTATATATAATTCAGAACGGAAAAAAAAGAAGCAGGAACGAACTATATACATACCCTATATTGGATATTAACATCCAATAGTGTAAGTCGCAGCAGCAGCTTCAGGTTGGTAGTCCAAGCATTGTTGTCTATCTGTACTTATCTGTTCTTCCCACCGGAGCCTCACTTTCGATTTCAAAATGGCGGCAGCGTGAAATCAGCGTATTGCATTACTGCTGTTGGACATTGTTAGTTGACAAAGTAAACTAGAGAGAGTGTAAAAAAAAAAAAAGTACATAGTTGTATAGTTGAAGAAACTTTGCATAGTTCATGCATAGAAACCTAAAGACCCCCTGTGGTGAAAATCAAGATTTTAATGTTGTTTATATGTCTATGTGGTGTTTTTAAAATGCTTTAAAGGGGTCATATAATGGTACATGCACTTTTACAAGTTGATTGTACTGAAATGTGTGTTGGCAGTGCCTGTACACAAACATCATAAAATGATAAAAATCCATCCAGTGTTTTTGTTTTAATCTCCTTATATGTTTTCCCCTGCCTCAAATCAAGCCGTTCGACCATGTGACGTCACACGGTCGGACGCCCCTCCCGCGATTGTTGATTGACAGCAACGTTTCAACACAGACCCGCCCTCGCTCGTGAGGGAGCTGTCAATCATAGTCTGCGCGGACCGGCGCGGTCATTGTTGATATGCTGGAGCACTGTCTATGAGCAGAATGGCGTCTAAGCGATTGTGGTGTTCTGTTCTTGGGTGTAATAACGAACACAGCAGTCATTTTAATGTTCCTAAATCCGAACCGCTGAAGACGCAGTGGCTGTGTTTGTTATCGAAGGGAATATTCCCCACGATCAACGTCAATGCTCTCATGTTTGCGCGAATCATTTCTCACCAGACTGCTTTATAAAGGAGGGTCAGTATGAGCTGGTTTTGCTAAGAAGCTGCTCATGAAAAAAAGGATCGGTACCAGATATTCGTGTTCCTGCTGAACCTCTAGAACAACTGAAGTGAGTGTAACGTTTTATTAAACTTTATATTAATATTTATATTAATCTTTGCAAATCGCTAGCTGCACGCTTCACAATGAATGCGTCTAAGGTTTACACTCAGGCTACATTACGGCATGTTTTCTATGTATGATGTTCTCAATATAATTCATAATCCCACGATGGGGACCCAAGGATTATACTGAACAACGCGTTATGGTTATTGTGTTATTGTTACAAACGGTGTACGCACAGAACAGAGAGGCGGGGTGAGCAAAGCTCATTATCATTTAAAGTCATATGCACTGAAACGGCGTGCTGAAAACAGAGCGGTTTTTGACCAAGTAAAATAAGTGTTTTCTTACAATACTAATGACAATTTGTAATTAAAGTATATTACAAACTTTTAATTTAGACCCTAAAGAATCATACTAGCTTGTACAAAAATGGCATTATATGACCCCTTTAAGACAAACCATGTGCAAATTCATAAGTCAACACCATTGCTGAGTATTTTCTCCTTAAAACTGCAGTGAAACAGACAGTCTCAAAAACGCTGGTGTTTCTTACGTCACAAACTACCTTGTAACCAATCAGGTCAACGTGTGGGCGGGTTTTAGTGTAATCATCATTATATTCTGCAAAGCAGGGGAGTCTCAAGAGAAGCCAGGATATTCCGGTATATTTTTCTGTTGATATGAAAAATCGGGTACATTTAGCAATATAGCGGGCGAATTATGTATATGATGTATATTACGATGTTATGATGAACTATATGCCTTTTTCCACTGACGTTCTATGGTGTTTAAAACGTTTCAATGCTGATCTTTAGAAGGCAGACTGAGATGCGAACGGGAACATGGTCTGTATAACATTAGCAACACATTATTAGCTGTTTGATAATGTAGCCAAGTAAAATCTAATCATATTAAATTAATTACCGATACCGAATCAAGCGATACCATTTGGCAGCGTTTACTTGAGTAACTTGAGTAAAGTTGACAGAGTGGATCTCTGAGCTGGTGTAAATGTGAGGAGGCGGGGCTAATTTGCATATTCATGGCACTGCGTATACTAAATGAGGCAAGGGTTTAGAGTTACATTCAAGCTATTTTAAGTCATAAAGAAAAAAAGATTTTCACAGAAAAGAACGTTTGAATGTGTTATTTTGGTGACTTTTAAGGGTTAATATTATTGACTACAGTGGGACTAAATTTGCATGCTAAAATGCGTTAAACTGGGCTGTGTTTTCATTGTTAGTTTGCGGTCTTTTTTTAAATTCCAGTCAGTCTGTCAAACTTACTGATCAGAAGCTTTATTTTTCCAGTATCAGTATTGTGATGACCTAAGGACATTCATTGGAGCTGTACCATTTGTTAAAATGTTATATCGTTCCAGGTTTTTTTTTTTCAGGAGTTGTGATGCCAGGCTTTTTTCTTCCAGGACAGGAAGTGATTGCAGAAACAGTCAGGCCTTGTGGTAGTGCTGACAGGACTCCAGTCTATACAAACAGATTTCTATCAGTTCTCCAGTCCCGTGTAACCAGAAAGCTTTGTCTAGCCTCAGGGTCTGCAAATTAAGACCCGTGTCCAGTCCGTAAACACTCCGGCTCCGGATCTTCGTCACTTACCACATCTGTGCCCATCCTGCTCTCACTTACTGTATTTGGCACCACGTCATTACCGCTTCATGTTTTTTTCTCTTTGCTCCCTCTCTGTTCTTTCTCTGCTCTGAGCTTTAACATTGTTTGGAAGGAAGTCACTCTTGCTTTCTGAACCAGTTGTCCTGACATAAACATTTTGTCAGGACTTTTGTGTTTAGATTTTAATCGTGTTTGGATTTGGACTGAGACGTTGAAGAGTAGCTGGTACTGTGCTGGTACATACACTAGTGGACATTTCTAGTCAATTTCACAAAGAAACCGCAAGTAATACATTTAATTCAGTAATCGTGAATTAAACATGAGATTTGGAAGTAGAAAGTCTGAAATAGTGTAAGTATTGTTCATTGTTAGTTCATGTTAACTAATGTAGTTAATTTTTTTTGACAAATGAAACCTTATTGTAAAGTGTTACCGACATGTCATCTGACCAATACAATACAATACAATACAATATTTATTTATAAAGCACATTTAAAAACAACCTAGGCTGACCAAAGTGCTGTACAGAACAGAAAAAAATAATAATAAAACTTTTATCCAGTGTGGATAAAAAAAGGGGTGACCGACTCATACTTGCGGGTCCCAGCGAGGAGTCTAGCAGCTGCGTTTTTTTCACTAGCTGTAGACGGGAGAGGGAGGACTGAGAGACACCAAAATAAAGTGAATTACAATAGTCTAGACGAGTTGTTCCGAAAGCATGAATCACTGTTTGAAAGTTACTCTGGGATAAAAAGGGTTTCACTTCAGAGAGTTGGCGAAGATGAAAAAAGCATGATTTTACAACAGTACTGATCTGTTTATCAAATTTTAGGTTTTGATCAAATAGAAAGCCCATATTTCTAGCGCATTGAATTTCATATGGGGCAAGAGAACCACGGTCAACATCAAGCACACAGTTTTCCTTGGGTCCAAATATAATTATTTCAGTTTTATTTTCGTTTAAATTTAGAATATTTCTTGAAAGCCAAAGCTCAAGTTCATTTAAACAGACCAACAGGGGTTGTAAACCATTTTTATCGTTATGTTTTAAGGGAAAATAGATCTGAGTATCATCAGCGTATAGATGAAAGGATACTCCGTATTTATTAAAAATGGAAGCCAGAGGTGGCATGTACAGAATAAACAATACCGGCCTGAGGATTGATCCCTGTGGGACTCCACAGTTTAGAGGTACACTAGAGGAGGAATGATGACCAATACGAACACTAAAACATCTGTTGGTCAGATAAGAACGGAACCACTGTAAGACTACGCCACGAAAGCCCACAGATATCTCCAGACGTCTCAACAGGACCTCATGGTCGACGAAATCAAATGCAGCACTCAGATCTAATAAAACCAAAGCCATGGATTTCCCAGAATCGGTTTCTGTAAAAATCAAGCGTAGCGTCAGTTCTGGCAGGTCACATTAGTCAAGCTCGCGTCAGCTGACTCTCAGCTGATCCACGTCTACCGATAGGAATACGACGCCTATCACTGTATACATGTGTAAGCTCCTTCAGTATTATCAGCAGCTATCGCGTTTCTCAGGAGCTAATTACCCTCCTCCATCCCCAGCTCCTCCTCTCGCCCAGTCAGGATTTGGCATTTGGATTCCCCTTGAATCAGAATAAATTCTCGAAATATGTTGTACTTTAAAATCTTGAATTAATTATATCTGCAATACATTCATGTTGGTTCTGTTCTGACGTATTTGACGATAGTGGTCCTGACAGAAATATAGCTTGAAACTCTTAAAAGGGCAGATTCAGAACTGTGTAAAGCTTTAAAAACAAGATTGAAACGTTTCATGAAGAGAATTTACAGCCAAGTATGATTGTAATTGAGTCAGTGCAACGCTCTCGGGGATCTAAAAGGTAGAAATAAAAGGTAGATTAGAAATAGGATGGAAATTAGAAAGAGAGGAAGGATCCAAGTTTTTTTTTTTTTTTTAAATATGGCATCACCACAGTAGCTTTAAGACTGTTAGGGAAGGACCCAGTAGAGAGGCATTTGTTAATAACCAATAACAGGCCAGGACCAACTGTGTCCCTACTTTGT